AAAGGGGGTTGGACTAGATGTCCTTTAGAGGTCCTTTCCAACTCTAGGATTCAATAATAATAATAATAATCCATGTTAATAATGACCATGATGGTGGTGATGATGATGATGATGATGATAGAGTCTCCTTCTTTGGATGGTCATTTGTTGGGAGTGCTTTCCTGCATAATGGTAAAAGGGGGTTGGACTAGATGTCCTTTAGAGGTCCTTTCCAACTCTAGGATTCAATAATAATAATAATAATCCATGTTAATAATGACCATGATGGTGGTGATGATGATGATGATGATGATAGAGTCTCCTTCTTTGGATGGTCATTTGTTGGGAGTGCTTTCCTGCATAATGGTAAAAGGGGGTTGGACTAGATGTCCTTTAGAGGTCCTTTCCAACTCTAGGATTCAATGATGATGATGATGATGATGATGATCTTGAGTCTGTCCTCATGGCCTGCTGCCCTTCTTCTTCTTCTTCCGGCAGACACCTCCTTCATGTACATGATTGCCGGGCTCTGCATGCTGAAGCTCTACCAGAAGCGGCACCCGGACATCAACGCCAGCGCCTACAGCGCCTACGCCTGCCTCGCCATCGTCATCTTCTTCTCCGTCGTCGGCGTGGTGAGTGAGCCCTTCCCAAATTCACATTCATTAAACGGAAGTCCCATCACTCTGCAGGGGTGTTGGTCTGATCAGGACCGTTCCATATGGTTTTAAAGTCATGCCTTTTTTACCTAGTGTTTTTGTCTTGTCAGCCACACAGAGTCTTGTCATTGGGGGAAAGGGGTGCAGATAATCATCATCATCATCTATATAAATAAAAATGTAATGTTCATTTGTGGGATTAACATAACTCAAAAACCACAGGGCGAATTGACACTGAATTTGGACACAAGACACCTCTCAGGCCAACGAGTGACCATCACTCAGAAAAACACAGCGGAAGAGACTTAAAATCCAAAAAAGCAAAAAGACATTACAACATGCGCAAAAATGACTCCACCAGAAAAAAAACACACAATAGCATATCCACACTCTCTTCTGGACTACAGCTCCCAGCATCCCCTAGGCCAGGCCCTTTAGGAGAAGAGGAGGATCCAAATGCACTGCTTCCAAGCTGCAAACTTTCTTCTCCTTTGATTTCTTTGAGAGCATCCCAATCCCTGCATATTTCCCATTTCCTATTCCTGGACTGCAACTCCCAGATAGATAGATTACATAGAGATAGGTAAGAAGAGAAGGGAAGGAAGGAAGGAAGGAAGGAAGGAAGGAAGGAAGGAAGGAAGGAAGGAAGAAGGAAGGAAGGAAGGAAGGAAGGAAGGAAGGAAGGAAGGAAGGAAGGAAGGAAGGAAGAAAAGGGAAGGAAGGGAGAGAGGAGAGAAAGAGGGAGGGGTTGGCCACAGCAATGTGTGGCGGGTACATCTAATAGTAATAATAGTAATAATAATAATAATGGGAAGTGTTCAACTTGTGATTTTGTAATACGAAATCCAGCATATAGATCTCTTTTGCTGTGACATACTGTGTTTTTGTGTCAGTAAAATAATAATAATAATAATAATAATAATAATAATAATAATATAGACTTGTGATTTTGTAATACGAAATCCAGCATATAGATCTCTTTTGCTGTGACATACTGTGTTTTTGTGTCAGTAAAATAATAATAATAATAATAATAATAATGGGAAGTGTTCAACTTGTGATTTTGTAATACGAAATCCAGCATATAGATCTCTTTTGCTGTGACATACTGTGTTTTTGTGTCAGTAAAATAATAATAATAATAATAATAATAATAATAATAATAATGGGAAGTGTTCAACTTGTGATTTTGTAATACAAAATCCAGCATATAGATCTCTTTTGCTGTGACATACTGTGTTTTTGTGTCAGTAAAATAATAATAATAATAATAATAATAATGGGAAGTGTTCAACTTGTGATTTTGTAATACGAAATCCAGCATATAGATCTCTTTTGCTGTGACATACTGTGTTTTTGTGTCAGTAAAATAAATAATAATAATAATAATAATAATAATAATAATGGGAAGTGTTCAACTTGTGATTTTGTAATACGAAATCCAGCATATAGATCTCTTTTGCTGTGACATACTGTGTTTTTGTGTCAGTAAAATAATAATAATAATAATAATAATAATAATAATAATAATGGGAAGTGTTCAACTTGTGATTTTGTAATACAAAATCCAGCATATAGATCTCTTTTGCTGTGACATACTGTGTTTTTGTGTCAGTAAAATAATAATAATAATAATAATAATGGGAAGTGTTCAACTTGTGATTTTGTAATACGAAATCCAGCATATAGATCTCTTTTGCTGTGACATACTGTGTTTTTGTGTCAGTAAAATAATAATAATAATAATAATAATAATGGGAAGTGTTCAACTTGTGATTTTGTAATACGAAATCCAGCATATAGATCTCTTTTGCTGTGACATACTGTGTTTTTGTGTCAGTAAAATAATAATAATAATAATAATAATAATGGGAAGTGTTCAACTTGTGATTTTGTAATACGAAATCCAGCATATAGATCTCTTTTGCTGTGACATACTGTGTTTTTGTGTCAGTAAAATAATAATAATAATAATAATAATAATAATAATATCTTCTCTAAGTCTATTAAAACTTGGTCTTGTATCAACAAACTCATTACCATTATCTTGAAGCTTCTTATTCTCGACACCTGGAGTTTCCGCCTCTTGACCTCCTTGCCCTACAGATTGGCTCTGCCGAATCCTCTGGAATGTGGCCTTGACTAGCTGGAGACACAGACTGCTCCATTTCAGGACTTAAAATCTCAGGCCCCCAAATCCCCATTAACAGTAATTTATTTATTTATTTATTTGCTGTATTTGTATACCGCCTTTCTCAGCCCATCGGCGACTCAAGGCGGTTTCCAACAAATCAGTACACATAAAAACATAGTACTGATTAAAACATTAAACAGTATAAAACACCACAAGAGCAATAAAAACAACATCATTAGCGCCTCCTTATTCTCCAGCATTGTCCAGTTCCATTGTCAAGTCATTCGATTTCCTATATTAGCTACTCTGCATTTGTAAACGCTTGCTCAAACAGCCACGTTCAGAGGGAGGGAGCAGATCTGATGTCCTTAGGGAGTGCGTTCCATAGCTGAGGGGCCACCACTGAGAAGGCCATGTCTCTCGTCCCCGCCAAACGTACTTGAGACAAAGGCAGGACCGAGAGCAGGGCCTCCCCAGACGATCTTAAGGTCCTCGATGGTTCGTAAGGGGAGATACGTTCGGACAGGTATCTTCTGGTATCAGTCTGAGATAATCTCAGACACCACCATAGGCTGAACTACAACACTGAATGCAATGTTTAGGGACAGATAAACATAAAGCAACAGATGATGATGATGATGATGATGATGATGATAGTAGTAGTAATCTATATAAATATAAAGGTAATATTCGTTTGTGGGATAAACAGAACTCAAAAACCACTGGGCAAATTGACGCCAAATTTGGACACAAGACACCTAACAACCCAATGTATGTCCTTCACTCAAAAAAACTGATTTTGTCATTTGGGAGTTGTAGTTGCTGGGATTTATAGTTCACCTACAATCTAAGAGCATTCTGAACCCCACCAACGATGGAGTTGAACCAAACTTGGCACACAGTTCTCCCATGACCAACAGAAAATACTGGAAGGGTTTGGTGGGCATTGACCTTGGGTTTGGGAGTTGTAGTTCACCGACATCCAGAGATCACTGTGGACTCAAACAAGGATGGATCTGGATCAAACTTGGCACAGATACTCAATATGCCCAAATGTGAACACTGATGGAGTTTGGGGGAAATAGAATCTTGACATTTAGGAGTTGTAGTTGCTGGGATTTATAGTTCACCTACAATCACAGAGCATTCTGAACCCCACCAACGATGGAATTGAACCAAACTTGGCACACAGTTCTCCCATGACCAACTGGAAGGGTTTGGTGGGCAGTGTTCTTTGGATTTGGAGTTGTAGTTTACCTCCATCCAGAGATCACTGTGGCCTCAAACAATGATGGATCTGGACCAAACTTGGCACGAATATTCAATATGCCCAAATGTGAACACTGATGGAGTTTGGGGAAAATAGAATCCTGACATTTGGGAGTTTTAGTTGTGGGATTTATAGTTCACCTACAATCACAGAGTATTCTGAATCCCACCAACAATAGAATTGGGCCAAACCTCCCACACAGAACCCCCATGTGGGCCACAGCAACGCGTGGCAGGGGACGGCTAGTAATAGTAATAATAGTATTGTCATCTTGTAACTTACTCTGAGTCCACAATGTTTAGGAAAAGGGGTGTACAAATAAAGCAACAGAGTAATGATAGATAGATAGATACGATAGATACGATAGATAGATAGATAGATAGATAGATAGATAGATAGATAGATACGATAGATAGATAGATACGATAGATAGATAGATAGATAGATAGATAGATAGATAGATAGATAGATAGATAGCAGTCCCTTGCTTTGTGTGGCTCCCCTTTCCACTTGTGCCCTCTTCCGCATCATCATCCTTCCCCCTTTTCTTGCTCTGCTGGGATTTTCATGTGCCCAGGAGGTACGGTTTGGGCAACGAGACCTCTTGGCATACACAGGCATTCCCATAAGGAGGGTGGGAGTGGTTGGGAATGGGTCTGGGGTCTCTTCATGCTTCTGATTCACCTCCTCTCAGGTCTTTGGGAAGGGCAACATGGCCTTCTGGATCGTCTTCTCGGTCATCCACATCGTCTCCACGCTGCTGCTCAGCACCCAGCTCTATTACATGGGCCGCTGGAAGCTGGGTGAGTTTGGGGGGCTCCCAGTGGACACTAAATGGGAGCACTCAGGTTCTTACCTTCCTGTTCCTGGTTTGGAAAGGTTATTTCCTCTTTCATTGTGTGCCCCTTCCTTTGAAAGTAGTTGCCCTACTCCAGAAACTTTGTTTTTGTAGCTGCCACCACGTTGAATGTGTTGAGGCTCAATGCGAGATTCATTAAAAAACTCTAGCAGGATATGTCATAGTGATATATACTACAATAATATAATAATATATAATTATAGTAAATATATTAATAATATAATTAATATATTATAAATAATATAATATAATATTTAATGTTATATAATATATTATAAAATAAAACAATATAATTAGTATAATATAATATGTGCAGGACAATAATATATATAATGTAATATAATACAATTATAATATAATACAATAAACCGCATTGAGTCGCCTGGTTGGGCTGAAAAATGCGGTATAGAAATAAAGCAAATAAATAATACAATATAATGTGCCGCTGGAGGTCCCTCTCATATAAACAAAGTTTGTGCAATTTAATACACTTCTTCCATGTTTTATGATAGAACCAATTAGGAAATGATGCGTATAACCCAGAAACAAAAAAAAGTGTGACATAAGTGTTAGATGAGTCTACACTGCTGTATAACCCATTTTCAGAATTGAATATGTTGAGGCTCAATGAGAGATTCGTTGAAAAACTCTAGCAGGATGTGTCATAGTGATATATACTACAATAATATAATAATATATAATTAATAAATAATTATTTATTATTATTATTAATAATAATTATTATTATAATAAATATATTTATAATATAATATGATATGATATAGTATAATATAATAAAAATAATAAATATAATATAATATAGTATAAAATTATATTATTATTTATTATATTATATTACAATATAATGTGCTACAGGAACAAAGTTTGTGCAGTTTCAAAAACCTTTCCCATGTTATTATGATAGAACTAATTAGAAAAAGGCACATATAACCCAGGAACAATAAAAGTGTGACATAGTGTAATATATTATAATAATATATAATGTAATATAGTACAATTATAATTATAATATAATAATATGATATATTTGCTGCAGGATGTCCCTCCCACATAAACAAAGTCTGTGCAATTTAATAAGCTTCTTCCATGTTTTATGATAGAAGCAATTAGGAAATGACGTGCATAACCCAGGAACAAAAGAAAATAATGTGACATAGCATTAGATGAGTCTACACTGACATATAACCCAGTTTTAGAATGCAGATTGAGCTGCATTCTGGAACTGTATTACATGACAATGTAGATCCAGCCTGACGCGCCAGGTAACTTGGGTGTCAGAATCTCTGGGATACTTAGAGTCTCGTTTGTAGAGAGAGAAAAAGTGGGGAATAATAATACTATTATAATGTTATACAATTATAATTATAATATAACAATACAATTACAATATAATATAATATAATATAATAAATATAGTATGCTGCAGGATGTCCCACCCACACAAATCTATTATAGTAATATAATACAATTATAATATAATATAATATAATATAATATAATATAATAATAAATATATTTATAAAATAATATATAATTATAATAGTATAATACAATTATAATGTAGTAATATAATTATAATACAATATTATCATATAATGTGCTGCAGGATGTCCCTCCCACACAAATCTATTATAGTAATATAATATAATATAATATAATATAATAATATATATTTATAATATATAATTACAATAGTATAATACAATTATAATGTAGTAATATAATTATAATACAATACTATCATATAATGTGCTGCAGGATGTCCCTCCCACACAAATCTATTATAGTAATATAATATAACATAATATAATATAATAATATATATTTATAATATATAATTACAATAGTATAATACAATTATAATGTAGTAATATAATTATAATACAATAATATCATATAATGTTCTCCCACACAAATTTATTATAATAATATAATACAATTATAATATAATATAACATAATATAATAATAAATATATTTATAATATATAATTATAATAGTATAATACAATTATAATGCAGCAATATAATTATAATACAATAATATCATATAATGTTCTCCCACACAAATCTATTATAATAATATAATACAATTATAATATAATATAACATAATATAATAATAAATATATTTATAATATATAATTATAATAGTATAATACAATTATAATGCAGCAATATAATTATAATATAATAATATCATATAATGTCCTGCAGGATCTCCCTCCCACACAAATCTACTATAATAATATAATACAATTATAATATAATATAACAAACATAATATAATATAATATAATAATATATATTTATAATATATAATTATAAGAGTATAATACAATTATAATGTAGTAATATAATTATAATACAATAATATCATATAATGTGCTGCAGGATGTCCCTCCCACACAAACAAAAGTTTTTGCAGTTTAATAAACTTAATAATAATTCTGGGCATTGAAGTCCCCAATGGAGCCTTCTTCCCGGCCATTCCTCAATCCTGACATCATCTCTCTTTCTGGCGCAGACTCTGGCATCCTGCGCAGGATTCTGCATGTCCTTTACACCGACTGCATCCGCCAGTGCAGTGGGCCCATGTATGTGGTGAGTAGGCCCATTGCTGCTTCTTCTCCTTCTCCTGGGTCTGTCCTCAGAGATAATCCAATTCAGTGAGATTCCTCCTAAGATTTCTCCCCTCAAGACCGGATCCCCTGTTGCTTAACTCTGTGCGTTAGAAATGCAAAGCCCTCTCTCCTTCTCGAGATATCCATAGGAATATCCCTCTCCTGCGGTCAGTTGGTCAAAGAGTCTCTTTCTCCTTTCCTCCGCAGGATCGGATGGTGCTCCTGGTGATGGGCAACATCATCAACTGGTCCCTGTGAGTAAAACCTCCCACCCGTCCCTCGTGCTCCCGCCAGCCGGCAAGGGTGTGGGGCAGAAATGTAGACAAAACGTCAGGAGAGAATGCTTCTGGAATATCTTCCTCAAGCCCCCCCCCCCCCCCACATGCCTGCATCAAGTCTTGGCTTGGATTTGTGTGGTGGGAGACTGTATGTGTGTGTGTGTGTGTGTGTGTGAGAGAGAGAGAGAGAGAGAGAGGGAGAGCACATACAGCAGGGAAAAATTGTGTTTTAATGTTTGCATATTTTTAGGTTTTAAATTAAATTTGAAAATATTGCAATGCTTAAGTGGCTGAGGGGGAAAGGAAGGGGCCAGAGGCTGTTAGGAATTGTGGGAGTTGAAGTCCAAAACACCTGGAGGGCCTGGTATAGAGAAAGAATGTTTATGTGTGTGAGAAAGACTTTGGAGAGACAAAGCCTGGGCAAGCGTGTGAAGAGAGGCCCCCTACATCTCCCCTAAATCACTCTCAGTTCCTCCCAAACCCCTCCAGTATTTTTTGGTTTGACCTGGGAGTTCTGTGTGGAGGTCTCAGTGGTCAGTGGAAGTCAGCGCTGAATCGGTTGAAGGGACTGCAAATCCCATCATCTGTTTTCCATACTCCCCCAAACATATTTTTTGATTAATCACAATGCGTTAATTATGTTGAATTTGTAACAATGAAAACACACCCTGCATATCAGATATTTACATTATGATTTGTAACAGTAGAAAAATTACAGTTATAAAGGAGGAATGAAAATAATTTTATGGTTGGGGGTCACCACAACATGAAGAAGCGTATTTAGGGGTCATGGTGTTGGAAAGGTTGAGAGCCACTGCTTTAGAGGGAGCAATCCTAACCCTACTGGGACACTTCCCCCCTGCAGCGCTGCGTACGGCCTCATCATGCACCCCAACGACTTTGCTTCCTACCTGCTGGCCATCGGCATCTGCAACCTGCTCCTCTACTTCGCCTTCTACATCATCATGAAGGTGGGTGCCGCAGCCTGACAGGAGCAAAGGACACCCCAGGGCAATTCAGGGGGTTTCCTCCCTTCCTTCCCTCGGGCAATAGTATCTGGCCGCTTGACCCAAGAGAGAGATGGAGAGCGGCCTTTAGTCGTGTCCATTCGCCATGGAGGAAGAGGCATGCAAATGGGATTTGGGGGTCACTACAAACAGGAAAGGAGAAGCATGCATCCGAGGTGGTTGACTCTCTCTTTGCCTGCAGCTCCGGAGCGGCGAGCGGCTCAAGCTGATCTCCCTGCTCTGCATCGTCTGCACGTCGGTCGTCTGGGGCTTTGCCCTCTACTTCTTCTTCCAGGGACTCAGCACCTGGCAGGTGAGTCCTGGCCCCGCTCCATCCCGGGACACGGCTTCCCATCCCACAGAAGGAGAGTCCACCTGAATGAGGGAGAACTTCCTGACCATAAGAAGAAGAGCTGCCCAACAGTGGGACTCTCCTCCTCAGAGTCCATTGGAAACTTTGAAGCAGAGATTGGATGGACATCTGTCAGGAGGGCTTTGATGGTGCTGTGCCTGCGTAATGGCAGAAAGGTGGCCCTTGGGGTCTCTTCCAACCCTAGGATTCAATAATAGTGATGGATAGTAATATAATAGTAATTCAATCTTCCTGTTTGGCAGAGGGGGGTGGGACTGGATGGCCCTTGGGGGTCTCTTCTAACTCTAATAATAATAATAATAATAATATACAATAATATAATAGCAATTCTGTTGGATTAGATGACCTTTGGGGTCCCTTCCAGCTCTAGGATTTAATAATAATAATAATAATAATAATAATAATAATAATAATAATGAAGATAATAAAAAGATAATAAGAGATAATAATGAATAATAATATAATAGCAATTCCATTGGACTAGATGGCCTTTGGGGTCCCTTCCAGCTCTAGGATTTAATAATAAAAATAATAATAATAATAATAACAACAACAACAATAATAATAGACAATAATATAATAGCAATTCCGTTGGATTAGATGGCCTTTGGGGTGCCTTCCAATTCTAGGACTCATTATTATTATTATTATTATTATTAATAATAATAATAATAATAATAATAATAATAGACAATAATAGACAACAATGGATAATAATATAATAGTAATTCCGTTGGGACTAGATGGCCTTTGGGGTCCCTTCCAACTCTAGGATTCTATAATCATCATAATAGTATAATCCTTGATGATGATGATGGAGTCTCCTTCTCTGGAAGCTTTTTAAACAAAGGCTGGATGGCCATTTGTCGGGGGTGCTTTGGTGGTGCTTTTCCTGCCTGGAAAAAGGGGGTGGGACTGGATGGTTTTTAGGAGTCCCTTCCAACTCTTCAATACTACTACTACTACTAATAATAATAACCCTTGTTAGTAACGACAATGATAAGGACAACTCACAGCGTTTGTGCAAAATCCGGTCTCAATGGGGACAAAGCTGTCCTTGAGATGCAGGCCTGGGGGAGACCCTAAGTCGTAGCGGTCACTCTGGGGGCTCAGCCCTGCATTGTCCCACCACAGTGACCTTACCCTGCTGACCTCTGCCCTCTCGACCTTCACAGAAAACACCGGCTGAGTCCCGGGAGCACAACCGGGAGTGTGTCCTCCTCAACTTCTTTGATGACCACGACGTCTGGCACTTCCTCTCGTCCATCGCCATGTTCGGCTCCTTCCTGGTGAGTTGTGTGGCTGCGGCACAAGCATGCGCTTACTTCATTTTAGTCGCTGGATTTGTCACTCACCTGCCTCCCAACGTGGGACCCACAAAGCAGAGTTATTAGGGCTGTGCAAAAATATTGTTGCTCCTCGTAAGTCATATCAAATTCATTAAATTTGTGCATAGAAATCAATATTACAAACATGCAGGAAAGAAGAGGGAATTTGAGAACGGAAATCCTCACCAATCATTTTTGTTAAGATTCTGTAACATTCGGAATCCTCCCATGTAAGACAGCTCAAACATTGTATGGATCGACACTGACCATATGACACTGCAAAGCCAAAAAGGTCATTGCTAGTGTAGGCTGCTTGCAGCTGGGAGGGAGACTACTGAGAGCACAGCATTCTGGGAAATGTAGTTTGGGAAGACGAGGCCTCCTGTGGGGCATTTTGGATTCCCTGGCATAGGGCTCCTTGCCTTCTCAAACTACATTTCCCAGAATCCTGTGCTTTCTCTGCCTCTTTCCCAGGGAACTCTGCTTTCTCCCTACTGCTTCCCTGTCCTCATGGTGAGAGGCCGTTCATTTAAAGAGGAAAGACAGCGGGTTGTTATAGATCAGTGGTTCTCAACCTGGGGTCCCCAGATATTTTTGGCCTTCAACTGCCAGAAATCCTACCAGCTGGTAAACTGGGAGTTGTAGGCCAAAATACCTGGGGACCCACAGGTTGAGAACCACTGTTACAGGTTTTTCGGGCTCTCTGGCCATGTTCTGGAAGCATTCTCTCCTGATGTTTCGCTTGCATCTATGGCAGGCATCCATCCTCAGAGGTTGTGAGGTCTGTTGGAAACTAGGAAAATTGGTTTATATACCAGGCAGCCTTTTTGGCTTTGCTTTGCTTCCTTGCCCTGAACGTAAAACTGACTTTGGGAGGCTTCCCAGGTTTGCAAAATGCAAACAAAAAAGTATTGGGTGAGTTTTGATTCTTAGGTTTTTGGCACGTGTTGGATATTGCGTTGTCAGTACGAATTTAACAAATTTGATCTGACTTACGACAACTAACGAAAAAATTGCACAGCCCTGGTAACTATATGGTCTCTGTGTGTGTGTCTGCTTGCTTTCTATCCCTTCCCTCGCCCATGTCCAGCATTGTTTTAATTTTAATTACATTTGGCCTACCCATGGTTTTTAAAGTGTGTTGTTCTATTTGATAATGCTTGTTGTTATTGTTTCATTGTTTTGTTGTTTTTAAACTGCTTGTATTGTTGTTGTTATTGCTTGTATTGTTGTATTTTGGGCTCAGCCTCATGCTGTGTCAGACTGGATGAGAGCTAACAAATTGAAACTGAATCCAGACAAGACAGAGGTCCTACTGGTCAGTCGTAAGGCCGAGCAGGGCATAGGGTGACAGCCTGTGGTAGACGGGGTTGCACTCCCCCTGAAGACGCAGGTTCGCAGCTTGGGAGTGATCCTGGACTCATCGCTGAGCCTGGAACTTGTGCGCCAGCTGCGCTCATACCTTGGGAAGTTACATCCCGATTAGATTACTGCAACGCACTCTATGTGGGGTTGCCTTTGAAGACTGTTCGGAAACTTCAATTAGTCCAATGGGCAGCAGCCAGATTACTCACCGGAGCGTCATACAGGGAGCATACCACCCCTCTGTTGTGTCAGCTCCACTGGCTGCCGATCCAGTTCCGGGCACAATTCAAAGTGCTGGTTTTGACCTACAAAACCCTTTACGGCTCCGGCCCAGTGTATCTGTCCGAACGGATCTCCTTCTACGTCCCACCCTGGAGTCTAAGATCTTCTGGGGAGGCCCTGCTCTCGACCCCGTCTCTATCACAAGTGAGATTGGCGGGGACGAGGAGCAGGGCCTTCTCGGTGGTGGCCCCCCACCTGTGGAATTCACTCCCCGGGGAAATTAGATCTGCAACATCGCTCCTTTCCTTTAGGAAAAAACTAAAAACATGGATCTGGGACCAGGCATTCGGACAATCGGGCAGATAAAGAAAGAACTTTGACGATGACTAGGAAATGATTAATGGATTAGATCTATGGAACTCTGAAAGACGAAACGCTGATCACGAGAATAGTTTTATATGATGTTTTATATGATGTGTTACGTACTGGTTGTTTGATTGTTTTAACCGTGATAACTGCTTTTAACTATGGTTTTGTATATTATGTGTAATTTGTATCGGCATCGAATTGTGCCTTTTTTGTAAGCCGCCCTGAGTCCTCCTTCGGGGGTTGAGAAGGGCGGGGTAAAAGTACCCGAAATAAATAAAATAAATAAATAAGCTGCACCAAGTCCCTTGGGGAAATGGTAGCGGGGTATAAATAAAATGTTATCATTATTATTATTATTTCTCTGTCTCACTGTAAATGGAATCAAAGGACCTTTATCTCTGTTCCTAGGTTTTGCTGACTCTGGATGACGACCTGGATTCCGTCCAGCGGGACAAGATCTACGTCTTCTAGGCGGATGGGCGGGCGGGCGGAGGGATGCCTGCCGTTCCTGTGGTCCGAGGGGGGGGTCCCTGCCGCCCCTCCCACAAAAGCCAGGCCTGCTTCTCCCACCAGCAGTGCATTTGGGGGGAGAACGAGCCGTGGGAGCGGAGGGGGCGGTGGGCGACCCTTCCTTTCTCCGTCCGTGCCGAACGATGTGTCCGAGGAACGGGCACCTTATATGGACGAAGCTGGCCAAACAACCCTAAGACGACAGATCCGTTCTCAACCAGCCGTTACAGAGAAGGGCCACCTCGAGCCCGGCTCGGCCTCCTTGCGCACACCTCTTGCCGGCCGAAAGCACATCCCTCGAGCCCCTTGTTGTTGACCAAGGCCTGCCAACTGCCAAATGTGGCCTTCCAGAGCGGGAGGGGCTCGCTTGCCAACGAGAAGGACCTTCTTCTGGGGAGAGAGAGAGAGAGAGACAAAGGGCCACTTCCGGGCCCTCCAAGCACATGCCTCTTCGGTGCCTAATTCGGGGCCCCTCCGCTTCCTCTTCCTCTTGCCTTTCTGCCCGGAATCCGGGAAGGGGTCCCAGGCAGCTCTTCTCTCCCTTCCTTCCTTCCTTCCTTCCTTCCTTCCTTCCTTCCTTCCTTCCTTCCTTCCTTCCTTCCTTTCGGGGAGACTGCCTTCCTCTTCCTTCTGTGGTCATCCCTGGCAGCCAGCCACGAGTGACCGCTGACCGTTTGCATTGTACTGCCTGAAACTGCCCCGATGACGAAAGACAACAAACGTGTTTTGGGCACGGATCCCATCCGCGTCCCCTTCCCCTTTTTTCCCTCGTACGAACAGCACAAACCACGGCTGAGGTCCAGCGTGGCCGGCTTTTGCAGCGGGTTGCTGTATCAGTAGCCCAGGGGCAAATCTTTTTTCGGGCGGCAGCTGCTAGTCGTTCTCCTTTTGTGCGTCCGTTCCTGGTTCTTCCGGTCGTGTTTTAAAAACGGTTTTCGGGGGGTCGTTGTGGGTTTTTTTCTTTCGGTTTTCCTTTTTAATCATCCCAACGTTGCTGCTGCAGAACCGGAAATTAACTCTTCTCGTTTCTACAGATTATGTTGCCAAATGCAAAGAAATAATAAAAAACAACGGTTATAAATTATATCCGAGCATTTCTTTTTTCTCCTTCTCCTTTTTATCACCCTTGGCATTGGATTTATCATACCAAGATGGCTTCCAGGGTGGCTTTCGGACATTTAGGACATGTTTACGTTTACAATAGAAAGAAGAATGTTATTGAAAACTATTAGGCCTGTGCAAAAATAGCATTACTCCTCGTAAGTCGTATCAAATTCGTTAAATTCGTGCATACGAATCGATATTAGAAACATGCAGAAAAAGGGAGAGAAAAATTGAAGAATCGAAACAATAATTGTTCTTAAGATTCTATAACATTCAAACGACTCCCAAAGTCAGTTTAATTTTCAGTATAAGCATGAAGCAACGTTGGCAAAGCCAAAGAGACTCAAGATGCTTGCTGGTTGCCATAAGGAAGGGCAGCTGGGCGGGAGACTGAGAACACAGCATTCTGGGAAGTGTAGTTTGGGAAGGTGAGGCCCCCTATGGCAGAGAATGCAAAAGACCCTGCCCTAAACTACATTTCCCAGAATGTAGAAAGCCCAATGAGGGCTTCAGCCGCCAGCTATTTAGAGTCAGTCTAATAATAAGAAGAAGAAGAAGAAGAAAACTGCTTCAAGTGCAAAAGATAAAGAGCAATTACCCTAAAAACACAATCCAGAGCAGAAGAGAAAACTGGCAAAAGAAGGCTCTCCATGGATAGTTTCTGGCAGAAATTGAGAGCCAAATTGACAAAGAAAAAACATGGCTGTGGCTCACAAATGGAACTTTGCAAAAGGAGACAAAGGAGGGCCTGATTCTGGCAGCCCAAGAACAAGCCATTAGAACAAAGGCCATCAAAGCCAGAATTGAAAAGCTGACCACAGATCCCAAGTGTAACTCTGCAAGGAAGCAGGTGAAACAATAGATCCCACCCTCAGCTGCTGCAAGAAGATCACGGACAGACTACAAGCAGAGGCACAACACCGTTGTTCAGGTGATTAATTGGAACTTGTGCCACAAACACCATCTGCCTGCGACAAAGAACTGGTGGGATCACAAGCCGGAAAAAGTTACAGAAAATGAACACGCCAAACTCCTCTGGGACTTCTGGATTCAGACAGACAGAGTTCCGGAGCACAACACTCCTGACCTCATAATCGTGTTAAAAAACAAAGTATGGATCGTCGATGTTGCAATCTCAGGTGAGAGCAGGAAAAGCTGACACGATATGAGGATTTAAAAATCGAACTGCAAAGACTCTGGCACAAGCCAATCAAGAGGGTCTCAGTGGTGATTGGCACACTGGGTGCAATGCCTCAAGACCTTGGCCTGCACTTAAACACAATCGGCGCTGACAAGATTACCATCTGCAGCTGCAAAAGGCCACCTCACTGGGATCTGCACGCATTATTCGCCGATACATCACACAGTCCTAGACACTTGGGAAATGTCCAACGTGTAATCCAATCCAACAGCCAGCAGAGTGTCTGCGGTGGACTCATCTTGTTGTGTTTCAAATAATAATAATAATAATAATAAATAATAATAATAATGCACTTGGGAAGTGTCGGACATGTGATCCAATTCAACAGCCAGCAGAGTGTCTGTGTGGACTCATCTTGTGGTGTTTCTAATAATAATAATAATAATAATAATAATACTCCTGGGAAGTGTCCAACGTGTGATCCAATTCAACAACCAGCTGTGGACTCGTCTTGTTGTGCTTCAAATAATAATAATAATAATAATAATAATAATAATAATAATAATAATCTTCCAGGGATTGATGCCCTGCAAAGAGGACTCAAATAAGGATTTAGTATAAATCTGTGCTGAGTTGATGTGGTTAATAGTGTGTCATAAAGACAGACATTCAAGGGGATTGCTGTTGTGGCTTTTGGAGAATAAATGTTTTTGTATAAACTTTTTAAAATCCCGCAAAATCAGTAGGTGTGTGAATCTTTCTAAAACTTCCTGGGATTGATGCCCTAGTTATCGTGTGCATTGTGTATAAAATTCAAGTCAATATCTCTTGTGGGTTTTTTAAATTGTTTAAAAAAATCAAAAATTCTCCAAAAATTAGTGGATGAGTGTAACGTTCTGAAATTTGGTGGCCTGACCGTGGAAGATGTGTGGTTCAATTATAGCAAGCTTCATCACAATAGCTCTAAAAATGAGGGCGAAATGAACCCCCAAAGTTTCCCCATTTGCTCAATTACTTGGCAAAAAAAAGTAATGAAATTTCGTTACTCTCATTTATAGTAATGAAATTTTTACTAACTATACTTTAAATACACTTTAGAAACAAAACACCGACATCCCCCAGTTTTGTAGTGGCTTTTGAAACATTTATTTTATTGATCACACATGCCTGAAAACCATAGTTAAGGAGCATCCAGGTCTTTGGTTCCAGGTGAGGATGGCGCAGCATTGGTGTTGCCGAAATCAGCAGAAGCGAGTGGAGCCATCACCTGACACATGGTGCTACTTTGATGGCTAGAAGAAACGTAGACTGGGTTTGAAGGCAAATAACCAGAGGTTAATTTACTCTCTGTCCTGAAAGGATGTCTGATACAGAGTCTGCGCTCTAAAGGAATCGGACAAAACTATGCAATGCAGTGCAAGACATTTAACCCCATAGACAGCCGTTCAAAAGTCCCACTCCTCCCCCTGATTGGCTCAGAAATGATGAAACTAGGATCTGGGCTTTCATTGGCTGGGGACTCCCTGTGATGTCAGAGGTGGGCTGGGCCTCCTTTGTGGTGGGAAAAAGGAAGCACTGCCATTTGTCCATTTGAAGCCAGAGCCATTTCAAAGGGCGAGACTTTGTAAATGGTCTGAGGCAATGTATATCCCAGAGCTATCAGCATGAAACTTGCTACGATTAGAGAACACATTTACCTCTGATAGCCCATCAAGTTTCAGAACATTCCACTTGTCCACGAATATTTGGTTTTTTTTTTTTAAAAAAAAAGAAACTACAAGAGCGATCTGCTTGATTTTGTATACGACGACACAAAATAACCATGGCATCATTCCCCCCAAGTTTCAGAAAGATTCGCACATCTACTCATTTTTGGATAATTTTTCAAGTGTTGACAACTTTTTTTTCCATCTATCTATCTGTCTCTCCAACCATCCATATATTCACCCATCCAACTTTCATTTTTTTTCTTCCATCCATCCTTCCTGTCTGCTTGCTTGCCATCCATCCACTCACGACATCACATTTTACATATTCCTTTATTTCTCCTCCCTCCTTCCCTCTTTTCCTCTCCCTCTCTTTACTTCTCCCTTTCCTTTTAGGGACTGTGCAGTAGCTACTTGAATGTGGAAGGGTGGGTACTTTGTTTGGTCATTTGTACATATAGACTGTGATTGGGGGTGGCATTTAGTTTTGTTGTAGGATGTACAGTGAAAACAAAGCTATTCTTCCTTTCCCTCCCTCCCTCCCTCCCTCTCCTTCCCATCATCCCTCCTTTATTCTCTTGATCTTGCCCTTCCCCTTCTTTCCTTCTTCTCCTCCTTCCTTCCTTCTTTTCCTTCCTTCCTTCCTTCCTTCTCCTTCACCTTCTTCTCTTTCCTTCCTTCTTTCATTCTTTCCTTTCCTTCTCCTTCTCTTCTTCCTTCCTTCCCTTCCTTCCTTCTCCTTCTCCTCCTCCCTCCTTCCTTCTTCTCCTTCCTTTTTTCCTTCTCCTTCCTCCTTCTCCTTCTTCTTCTTCCTTTTTTTCCTTCCTTCTCCTTCTTCCTTCTTCCTTCTTCTCTTCCTTCCTCTCCTTCTCCCTTCCTTCCTTCTCCTTTCTTCTCGTACAAGACCCCCCAGACGCTGAACACTCGGGGAAGAGAGTTCAGCAGTGGAACTCTCTGCCCTGGAGGGAGTGTGGTGGAGGCTCCTTCTTTGGAAGCTTTTAAACAGAGGCTGGATGGCCATCTGTCAGGGGTGCTTTGAATGCAATATTCCTGCTTCTTAGCAGAATGGGGTTGGACTGGATGGCCCATGAGGTCTCTTCCAACTCTAGGATTCTATGATTCTAAGACCCGTTTCTCCCTTCCTATCGATACAAATGGCCTCTGCAAAGGCAGGTCAGCAGCAAAATTGGGGCATTGCAGGGAGCGGTCCTAATATGCATTCCCTCTCTACCTTGAGCTCCATCCGGGATGAAGTCAGGCCCAAAGCCCCCTTGCATCTTCTCCTTCTTCCTTCTTTTCTTCTCCTCCTCCTCCCTCCCTCCCTTTCTTTCTTCTTTTTCTATTTCCTTCCTTTTCTTCTTTCTGCTTTTAGCCTCCTACAAGACCCCCAGACCCACAATATGGATAGGAAGGGCCACCCCTCCAGACCCCTTGTGCATTCCCTCAAACCCTTCAGCTCCATCCAGGATGAAGTCCAGCCTGAAGCCCCTTTGCACCTCAACATCTGGACAGCCTCCTTCTCCTTCCTTCCTTCTCCTTCCTTCCTTCCTTCCTTCCCTCCTTCCTTCCTTCCTTCCTTCCTTCCTTCCTTCCTTCCTTCCTTCCTTCCATCTCCATCTCCATCTCTTCCTTCTTTCTTCTCCTTCTCGTTTGCCTTCTCTGCCATCACTTCTACTCCTTCCTTCCTTCCTTTTCTCCTTTCTCCTATTAGCCTTTTCCAAGACCCCAGACTCTCAATATGGATAAGAAGGGCCACCCCTCCAGACCCCTTTCTCCCTTCTTCTCCACCATCACATCTCCATCTCCTTCCTTCCTTCTTTCCTTCCTTTTCCCCTTTCTCCTATTAGCCTTCTACAAGACCCCAGACCCTCAAGATGGAGAGGAAGGGCCACCCCTCCAGACCCCTTGTGCATTCCCTCAAACCCTTGAGCTCCATCCAGGATGAAGTCAAGCCTGAAGCCCCTTTGCACCTCAACATCTGGACAGCCTCCTTCTCCTTCCTTCCTTCCCTCCTTCCTTCCTTCCCTCCTTCCTTCCTTCCTTCCTTCCCTCCTTCCTTCCTTCCTTCCTTCCTTCCTTCCTTCCTTCCTTCCCTTCTTCCTTCCTTCCTTCCTTCCCTCCTTCCTTCCTTCC